CTTTTTGTTGTTCTCTGCATCCATTCCTATTTGCTAACATTCTGGGTTCAAGTGCTGAGAATACTACACAGTATTTAAGACTTAGCCTCACAAATGTCATATGCAGAATTGTGCGGTATCATGTCCCTAGTGTATGACATGTGTCTCTGTATGCAACTTTAAACTGTACTAGATCCTTTTGCTAATATATTGCATTACAAGCTATTATCAAATGTGCATTATCACCTCTAGGTGATTTATTTTTATTATTTCTATATTCCAGGTATCTCCAAAAGGGCCCTAGGAGTGATGGATAGTAAAATGATATAGGAGCCTGCAATGTGGTGTGACAGACTCTGTATTTGGGAGGGCAGAGACAATAAGGAGGGCAGGTGCACATGGCATTTGGGATTGCTAAAATCTAATTGTTGCCTTGGTTTTGTCTTGTATCTTGTTTACTGCTGAGTGATCTTCTTTGGATGTGTATATATTTAATATCCTGTTTTGGTTGTCTGGGTAGTGGCTCCATGGCAGAATCAGTATTCATCTGCCCTATATTGCCTTCCTCCTGTCTTCTTTAAAATGCCTAAAACATTAATCTCTGGGAGTTTTTTCACCTCTCCAAACTGTTGCTGGTGAAAGTGTCTGGCCATTTTGTTTTCTTTGTGCATGGTAGGAGTCAATATTCTCACTTGTAAAGGAGAAGCCAGCATAAACTGGAACAGTTTAAAATGGTGGTTTTCAAACATTTTTCTGGCTACCCAGTTGAAGAAAATTGTTGATGCTCACGACCCAACAGACCTGGGGGTGAGGGGTTTGGGGTGTAGGAGGGGCTCAGGGCTGGGGAAGAGGGTTGGGGTGTGGGAGGGGGTAACGGAGTCTGGGGTGGGGCTGCGGATAAGGTGTTTGGGGCGCAGGAAGGGGCTCCATGTTTGGGGGCTCAGGGCTGGGGCAGAGGGTTGGGATGAGGGCTGTGGGGTGGGGCTAGGAATGAGGGGTTCAGGGTGTGTGTGTGTGGTGGGGGGGCTCTGGATTGGGGCAGAGGGTTGGAGTGCAGGAGGAGGTCAGGGTTCTGGGGTGGGGCTGGGGATGAGGGGTTTGGAGACTGCTCAGTGCTGGCCATGTGCCCTTCCTGGCCAGGAAGAGGAGCTTATGCAGCTTTCTACCACCATAACTTTTGCACCGCAGACTTTCTGTTGCTGGGGAACTTCTCCCACAGTCTTTGCTAGCTCAGTCCCATAGTAAACTTGGGCCATTGTCATCCTCATTTCCCTTCCATGTAAAATTTTCTGAAATCACAAATCTAAGTGAAACTTATTATTAGTCACACAACTAAAGGCGAGCTTGTTTGACCTTAAAGGCGTAAAGGTTACAGTTATGATCAAATGTACAGATGGATAGACATCACCCATTAATTTATAAGCAGGTAGAACGCTGAAGACCTGGGTTTACATTGTGTGACTAATAAACTTTACTGAACACAGGATTCAATTTGAGCTAGCTTAAAATTACTTAAATTTTTAAGAATGTTTTGAAATGGTCACATGATTGACTGAATTTTCCTAAGCCAGGGTCATGTCATATGCTATCAATTTTTAAGACGAATTCCCCACTGAAGTGAATAGGAAATTCTACCTAAAAATCAGTGCCACGAGTGGATCCCCATACGGTGGTACTTCCAGATTAAATACATTGTAAAAGAAATATTTACCTCAAATGCACAGTGTGACAATGTCCTGTAAAAAACTGCCATTAATCAATGACTTGAAGAAGAAAAGTGAGGTTTTAGGCTCTGATTTCATTATAAAGCAGCATACTGCATGTATTTGAGATTTTGTATTTTTTTTTAAAACATAGAATGCTCCTATTTGGTATGGAGTATTAGAAAATATGCATAAACATATGTATAACATTTATTAAAGTAAATATTTTTAGTTGGTAAATTCCAAAATATTAATAGTAACAACAATTTATTTGGAATTGCCCATCTTGATGTTTGAAGGGGAACTCTCATTTTAATTTATTTTAAAAATATCTTTATGTAGTTTAATTATTGTAAACTACTTCCTTTTAAGAAACAAAATTTATTGACTGATTTTTAAAATGTACCTACCCAGCTCTCAATAATTAATGAAAACATACAGTATACAAATTGGACCAATGTCTAAAGCTAGGTGTTCTCCCAAATTCTTATGAAACAAAAACTGTTCAGTTAACATTCAGATAATGTACTGGTTTAATTTCCATCAAAATGTTTAACTATGCTGAAAAAATATAGTAGCGCACAATCAACGGTTGAGATGTCACTGAAGAAAATCAATTCAATCCTTTATTATTATTATTGGATTATGTCTAAAGATAATTCAGATTGCTATTTGTGCTTGGGTAACTCAAAGATTAATTTTAAGAAAGTGAAACTTGGCATGTATGTCATCTTCAGTAAAGAATATGTGCTATGCCAAGTTTGGGAAAGAATTGCAAGATGTGATAACTGAGGGAATACTAGCATGCTTTGTATGCACAGTGCACTTTTTTCCTTATTTTTGTGCACAACGAGTGTGGCTATCCAATGCAGATGCCTTAGCATTTGTTTATCTGTGTTATACTTGGAATAATGCAGTCTAGTGGAGAAACAGAAACCAATCAACCAACCAAAAATAACCCCAACAAAATTCCTTTGATACAGAGCGAATTTCAGCTATATGACCAATCACAGTTGTGTGATCTGGTCATCTCAGAAGCACATTCAGCCAGTAAACCATGAGACAGAAGAATTACATCATCAGAGCACTTCTCTGGGTGAACAGAGCAAGAAGTGGGGATTTCAAACCTAGCAAGTACCGAGGGTTTATTGGCATTTCATTGATTACTATCCATTTAGATGTCAAAATCTGGGTAGCTAAACCATTAAAATAAGCATGTTGTATTTGATCCAACATGTCAATAAAATGTATAATGTAAATGAATGGTTCCAAAGTATGACACATATAACCCCCTTTTGATGTATCCAGGTATGCCACTGCTATGAAATTAGCTAGCTCCTCACTCTTCCTCCTTCAAGATTTATAAATGGTATGGTATTTCTCAAAGTTTACCATGTAACATTTTTAAGAACAAACAGCATGGTTTTTAAAACTCGAATTATTTATTTTATTCAATATTATTATTGAACTACTTACTAAATGCTAGCTGGGGGGGAGGAGAGGGCAAAAGACCAAAATGTCTTAAAGATGTGAAAATAGGATTTAGAGACCATTTGTGTCATTTATTGCTAGTCTTTCATAAAGAAGAAAGTCTCAAGAGGTATTAGGGTCTGATCTTACTGCTATGATTACATATGAGAGTATGGGCAGTAGGATGAGGCCCTTCATTTGAAATCATCATACATAATTTAAACAAAATTAACTGGGCAGTGGGGTGAGTGAGGGTGGAGTGGGGAGGGAGAGATGGTTTTATACCTTGTAATAGCTTAAGGTAGTCTTTTTCTAAGGCTATGTCTATACATCCAGTGCTTCAGTTGAGTGACATAACTGGGTCGTCCTAATGTTTTAATGTAGACCTGATTGGCCTGTGTCTATGCTAGGGCTTTTGCCTGCATAGCTGTTGGGGGAGGGAAATACACTCCTGATTAACATATCTATGCCAGCAAAACTTTTAAGTATAGACCAGGCCTCGGTCTTAACCTTTGTTTTACTATCAGTAAGAAACAGTTATGATGTCTGTTTATAATTATATCATGGTTGGTATATGGTTGGTGCACAGGGAAGAAAGGGATCATATCAAAAACATTTTTCTTTTGACAGGCATGTTGTTGAATGTTTTGCATGTTTTCTATATTTTCCCATTGTTAATAAAAACCTTCATAGACCTCTGAAAACAAATGTTTTCTTAAAATTGTTTTTCTTTCTTGTTGGCAGCTACTGTTTTTTCACCAGTTTCTCATGGCATGTAAGCAAATGTTGGTCATGTTCTTGTTTCCACCATAAATGATACATTGTTATTATAATTTATTTTTATTGCTCTAGTGCCCAGAGCTCCTGGGCAGGAGTGACACTGAACTCATTTCCAAGCTGGCTGTCCCTGACTCAAACACCAAATAACATCTGTCCTAGGTAAACGGGTAGTTTTGTTTTGGTTGCAGGTGATGTATTTTAAATAAGTCTAGCCATTCCTACCAATATGCTGTGGATGTTTTAGCAAGGGGTTCCTAGAAATATTTCCCCTCCCCGCTTAGTTTGTGATTAACCATGTTTCCTCAGGCTGTTCCCATACTACAGCCATGGGCTATCTGGCAGCTCAGCACACAGCTGGAGGATGGAAGAGAGAGGGACTGAGGAATATATTACTTTGTTCAGCCCTATACACTAAAGGCTGGCTCCTGATCACTGCCAGCCCAGAGCCCGGTGATACCAATGAGTGGGCTGGGCTCTGAGTCGGTCTCGCTGGCAGGGTCCCAGCGCGTGAGCCCTGTACAGCGCTGGGGCCCCGGGGCGCCTGTCCCAGGGGCGAAGCGCGCGCACCCTGCCCCCTGCAGGCGGCGCTGCCGCAGCTGCCCACGTGTTACTGGCTGGGTCTGTTTACTGCCCCCACCTCGGGCCGAGAAGGCGGGGCAGAGCTCCCCGCAGGCAGCCAATCCCGCAGGGTCCCCGCGCCGCGCGCGCTAACTTCATCTCACCCCTCCCTTGGCTTTGACTGGCTAGGGGGCACGTGAGATAGATAGGCAGCTCCGCAGACCCGCTGGTCGGGGGTCCGCTTTTGGGACAGGTTCCCCCAGCTTTCGGAACGTCGCAAGGCACGTGGTCGGCGGGGGAGCCCCCTGCTCCGTGGGACAGGCCCCCTTCCCAGGGGTCCCGCCCCTCCTCCCCACCTGAGCGCCGCGTGCGCTATTGTCACCCAACCCAACATTCCAACTCTGAACGCCCCGCTGTTCGCCGCCAGCTCCCCTCATTGGCCCGCCTGGGTCAGACTGAGCGGCGGGGCAGCCAATGGCGTTCGGTATCCAAGGAGCCAGCTGGCCCCGCCCTTCGCAGCGCCTGCCGTAACAATATGGCAGCAGCTGCTATTGGTAGGGACGCGGTGTGAGCGGCGGTGGTGGTAGCAGCAGCTGCTGCTCAGGCTCCTTCTCACCGTGTGCGCCCTTCTCCAGCGCCCCCTTCCCCCCGCGGCTGGCTCAGGGCCAGGCCGGCGGCAGGACCGAGCCATGGCAGGTAGGTCGGGGGGCCGGAGCCGGGCACCTGGGCGAGCCACACGAGCAGGGGATGCACTGGGGAAGCTGCCCGTATTGTCATGCCCTGCTGCCCGCCCCAGCCACCGCTCTCCGGGTCCTAGCGCTGGCGAGAGCGGGGTGACACCGTGCTTGGCATTGTGTGTTTCCCCGGGCTGGGCTCGGCGGCTGCGGTAGGGCTTGGGGGGAGGAAAGGGGCCCGGCGGTGAGTGAGGAGGCTGGAGCCAGACAGAGCAGCTGTGGCTGGAGGACGCCTGGGTCGGATGCAGCAGGGGAGGCTGTTTTCTCCTGCTCTCCCTAGCGGGAGGGGAGCTCGTTCTATAGTGGCGCTGGAGGGGGGAGTTCTCGGCTCCAGTGTATCGCTGAGCCCGGAGCTGCTTACGGCGACGCCAGCCCGGGGTTAGGGGTGGGGGTGCGGACTGCGGAGCGAGTGGCTTGCCCGTAACCTCGGGGTTGTCGTGCAAAAGCGCGATGCGGACTGGAGCTGGTAGGTAAATATTTGCCACAATGACAATGGGATCGGAGGATTCCTTGTTCGCAGAGGGGTATTGGCACAGATGGAGCTGAGTGAGCAGCGCAGAAGGGAAAATTGTTTAACCCCCTCCACCCCATAATCCCTTCCCCTCATTTACATCTGAATTTGTCAAAGATCAAAGCCAACATTTGTTCGTGGTTATTTAGTGTGGCGGGATACGTCCTTTATGTGTGTGGTTCTGCGGGGTGTACGCGCCGCGGGCATTGTACATTAGGATGCCTATGGAGGACTTTACCACTCGAATCACCATGCCACTTATTCATTATGCTGCTGCAAGCTGCCGGCGCCGTCCTCCTGTCCTGCTCGCCGGGGCCTGCTTTTGTTTACAGTCTTCAGCTGTGGGCATAATCAGTGAATAGCGTTCATACTGAGATCGCCTTAACTGGTCCTCAAAGTGGTTGACAAGCTGGTAAGAGATTGTTTACTAGTTGTCAATTTCTTAAGCTCCCTTTTGAGAGCGGATGATGCAGAGGTATGCAAATATGTATTTCAGTGAGCTTGTTTTTAAAGATTTTGGACCACTGAGAATAATGCATCTTGTTTCAGGATCTGCACTGGATCATGGTACCAGAGTCTGCCCTTACAAGTTTCAGGATTCCAACTTTCAAAATGACTGCTTAAAAAAGCTGTCAAACTTGTGACCATCTTGCCATAAGCTGCCTTTAAAAAAATTGTCTGTCTAGCTATGCAGTCAGGTAGAATAGCACTACTTTGAGACCTGTTTATAAATAATGTGAAGAACATGATATTTGCTGTGTGGGTTTCATTTTGATTTTACTTGTCATATGTCAGTGAATACAGTCTAAATCCCCTTCTTTCTTTACCTTTGAAAAATCCCATGCAGATAAGTTAAGCATTGTAAAAATCATAACTTCAGTATTCTGTACGTTGTTTGATTACTACATGGAAATGCTAAAACAATGCAGTTAAAATGTATACTTTGACACCAAGTTGTTTAGTAGATATTGAACAGAGAATGTGTGCTGCTGCATCTGAATATATTTGCATATCTAGTTTCTAATGTATAACTTGGAAGACTGTAAATGGATTACTCCTTCAAGGGATGTGTTAGTGGTAAAATGGAATTATGCACATGCATGATGGAGGGCAGGGGTGGAGTAGACCTCTGAATGTAGAAAATAGTTTCTCTGATGCATATAAAATCTAGGAAAGTCAAGGTTCTAAAAAGAAGTTGAACTTCACTTGTTTTGCTCTACTCTAGGATAGTTATTCCATATATATATTTACAAAAACCTAAATTTACTATATCTCAACATTACATATATCATGGCCCTGATGCTGCAAACATTTAAGAATGTGCTTAAATGTTAACATGGTGAGTACTCCATTAAAGTCAGTGGGACTATTCACTGTGTATAAACCTAAGCAAGTCTTTGCCGGATCAGGATCTAAATAAGTGAAAATGACTTAAATTACTACTTTTAGTGTCTGCTTGTGCAACCATTAAATTAGTGAGCACTTACTTATGCACATAATCTCAGCCTTAAATGGAACTACTCGCATAAGTATAATCTTGAGATTGCACAAGAGGGTCCTTAATTTCTCTGAGCAACTGAAGTGCAGTGTTTTGCATAAGGTCACAAAGAATTCAGGAATGAAAACTTTTAGAGAAGAGTTGACTTTTCTTTATTTTAGAAGCCCCTTCCCACTAATATTTCTAGTTCTGTAGTAGTTTTCATCTTCACCAGCCAAACTGGAAAATGCATATTTAATAGTTGTCAAGCAGTTCTTTACATCCATAATACTAAATACTGTAAATTAAAATAATTAGGAAAAACTCAGATCTGTTGAGTGATTACTTCTGGTGCCTAATTTGTGATAAGAGCACCTACTTTTCTTCCTGTATTATGGAAAAGCTGCTGCCAATTTCAATGGCACTTCAACAGCATGATATAATTTATTGAACAAGGGCAAATGAGGCTTAGTTTCATTTTAACTATATGGGCCCTATCCAGCAGAAAGCTGCTTTCTGGGTAAATAGCAGGAGGAGTCCCTGTTCTGAGTATTTGCTCCTTGCTAGTGTCCATGTAAAACCCTAGTCTGCCCTCTCCCTGGTGGAGTCAGTTTATTCAACCAGATTGCTCTTCTTATCATACTACATATGACAGTTGGGCTCATTAGGAGGCAGTGTAATCTAGTGGATAGTTTTTGTCTACTTAGATTGTAAAGTCTGTCCTGCAGGGATCGTCTCTTGCTATGTGTTTGTACTGTGCCTAGTATAATGGGGACCTCATCTTGGTGGGGACCTTGGCAACTACTAAATAATAATAATTGGACTGACTCAATGTGTGTGTTTCGAGAATGACGTTCTACTTTGCTAGGAGCAAGGCCACTACATCAGCACTTTTTGGGTACCTTCTCTGTAACTTGTGAGGAGAGCAAAGATTTCCCACCAGTTGTGTATAGAAGAGGAGGAATTTCATATACAGGACTTGTCTCTCTGATATGAGGATGCTCACACAAGGGCTACTCTAGTCTTATTAAAGCTGTAGGAATTTTTGCAGGCAGCATAGCTCAAGGAGAGTTGAGGGACAAGTTAGGGTAGGGAATTCTATCGAATTAGGCATTTATGGTCATGTTGTTTAATGCTTTCTCCAACAGGATAACTTACTCTTGTGGCCTTTCGTTGCTCTGGTTTTGTATTAGTGATCTTGAGTGATGTCTTTGTGTGTCATTAATAGCCATATTCTGGTGTCCTTACTCGGCCATTACACAGGTAAAACTCACCTTAGCTTTAATGAAAATATGACCTGAGTAATGACTAGGGGCTTCAGAATTTGGCTGTGTGTGTATTCAGACAATTATCAGAGGGGTAGCTGTGTTAGTCTGTATCCACAAAAACGAGGAGTCCGGTGGCACCTTAAAGACTAACAGATTTATTTGGGCATAAGCTTTTGTGGGTAAAAAAAACACTTCTTCAGATCTCCATGCATCTGAAAAAGTGGGGGTTTTACCCATGAAAGCTTATGCCCAAATAAATCTGTTAATCTTTAAGGTGCCACCGGACTCCTCGTTTTTTTTTTTTTTTCAAAACAATGCCGACTATGTTTTGGGTTAAAATAAATAAGCTGACAAACTGCCTCTTTAAGAAGTCTTTTAGGATTCACTGATTAATCTGTTAGAATGGATTTCTGTAAATCCTGCTTAATCTATTGAATGACCCAGCTCTAGGGTCTGTTTTTGGAAGAGGGAGACATGAACAACTTACTGTACACTTTTTCTGATGTGTTCAGAATCATTTGTTGTGGCTATACAGCATAACCATTCAGTAACCCTGAATGCAAATAATCCCCCATTACCCTACATGATATCTGGTTCAAGAGATCACTACTTTCGGAAGTTAAAAAGAACTGTTTGATACTGGATTTAACAGCTATTCATTGCAGTATTCGTTAATTGATAAGCTACACTACACAATGTCGATTATTCAAGAACTAGGTGTTCCTGCGACAGCGATGAGCATGGTATAAATAACTAGATCGATAGAACTAGCTTTTTAGCAACAGAATTCAAAGTTATGGTTTCCACAGCAACTATTACTCCGGCCCCCTTGCACATATGTAATATTTTCCATTTCTTATTTAGCTTCTTGTGCTTTTACCAGATCAAATACTCCTCCCTGCTCACATTTTGCTCTTATTCCTCCCACTCTCCTTTCTAGCTCCTTCCTTTCTCATTTTATTGCTCTCTCTGCCTCCTGCTCCCACTCTGAGCTTCATGCCTCCTTTTGTGCCACCTCCTAGTCTCAATACAGCAGGTGCATGCATGCCTTTTGGAAAAAATCACTACTTGTCCAAGTGCCTTTTGTCTTCCTTCACATCCTTTCATTGTCTTATGCATCTGTTTCCAGCTGTGTTCACACTGTGCTAGGCACTGTACAAATGTATAGGAAGCAGCAGTCCCTGCCATGAACGTCTTGCAATCTAAAAATGAGACACTTTCTGCCCTTGGTTCTTTATGTGAAACCCATTCCTCCTTACCTGATGCCTTCCTCACCAGTGGTGGCTTCACACTGTCCTGTACCTGCACTGTTCCCTTGTTCCTTTTGTCTGAGTTAGATTATAAAATCTTTGGAGTAGGAATTATGGTCTTGATTTGTAAAGTGTTTGTCATGTACACTTATGGTGTTGTATAAATATTCCCATGTGTAGTGTGAAGCTTAATGCATATGTGCAAAGTGGCTGGAAGATGGTTTCCAGAGCTTCTACTTTGAATTTTGAATGGTTTTGCCATTTTAACTCTAATGTGGTGTTAGCATATTTAATTTTCCTGTTTTTTAAAAAGGAATCTTTAAGAAGACTTTTTAGTAAGTAATGCGTTAGAAATGCACTTGTATTTATCTGAATATGTATAAACTTTAAGCGAGCAAGCAGATTTTCAGTCTTTCAAATAAAATTCACTTCTGGGTTGAGAACAAGCATTTTGGG